TGTAAAAAAAAAAATTAAAATTTTTTAAAAAAATTTATTATTATTTTTTTTAAATTTAACCTCCTTTATTCTGTACGTTGGTCGTTTAAGAAGACCTCAATTGTAAAAATGATATAATTATAATAATAAAAGTTAATTAAAAAATACTTTTCTAAATATCTTGATTTTTTTTTTTTTAACGTTTGCAATTGAACACTGTGTTTTGTATATTTACTGATTCTTAGAAGTAATTAAAATGTTTATATACTTCCCAGGAAATGAGTCATATTAATACCTTTTTTATAAACTAAAATAATATATACCTAATCTGAACTATATATAATGAATAGCTACCGGGTTGTTTAGTAAAACTCATATATCACTAATTAAAAAATTAATTTTTATTTCCTTCATTTATTTTGTGCAGAAGTTGGGCTATATCATAAATAAATAGGAAATTTTAATATTGAATGAATTATTCTCTATGCACAAAGAAAGATAGAAGGGGTGATGCTATAAGTTCTTCTATAAACCAAAACTGATTGTTTGGATTTGATCTCAAAATGAGGAAAAACGCGTATAATACATTAAGCGAACGAGAAAGGAAGTACCAAAACCTCGGAATAGATAAAAAGGACCAGTACTATAGCTAAATGATTGTATAGTAGAGAGATGAACAGAATATTTCAAGATGCTGCTAAAACGGGATCAAATGCAGTTTGGATGATATTAAGTGGATGGTGTTTATATACTTATTATACGAGTTTATACACCATAATATACGAGGTTTATTATGGTGAAAACCACTTTATTTTCGATTGCTGAAGGTGCACATCGGGACTATATTTACTTTGAAGCAGGATATAGAGAGGTATATCGAGAAAGTTATAGCTCATAGCTTTCCTTCTGATTTTTTAAGGAATCTTATATTACTTATGGCTCGTTATTGTTCAGAAATTGCGGAATAAATTGTTCGGAATTTGTGCCATATCATAAAAAAATAGAAAATTTTAATATTAAATGTATTATTCTCTCTGCACAAAGAAAGATGGAAAGGGCGAAACCGAACTGCTTTGATAGTATTGCGCGTACATAGGCAACAAGCATATTAGAAAATAACATAAAAGGACTGTGGTTTTTAGCTTTACAAGAAAGGAGGTATTAGGAAATATAATACCCATCAAGATCCATTCTTGTTTAGGGTACCAAACAAATTATACTCAAGAATCGTAGAAGCTGGAATAAGAAATATTGTCGATTGCCAGAGTGATATGGATTGAGAAACTTAAGTTGCACATTGGAAGAGAAGTTGAAAATTGGGTCTGTCTTCACTTTAAGGCAGGTTATAGAGAAGTCCACATAAAAAGAAAAATAGCTCTCTATCTGCTTAGTGCCTCACACTTTGGATTATGCTAATATCTAACTGTCTTTAAGAAAAGCTCGTTTTCCTTTTAGATTCCTTAAAAAATCTTTTGCAAATGCACTAAACAGAAGGAAAGCGATGAGCTATAACTTTCTCGATATCTTGAAATATTCTGTTCATCTCTCTACTATACAATCATTTAGCTATAGTACTGGTCCTTTTTATCTATTCCGAGGTTTTGGTACTTCCTTTCTCGTTCGCTTAATGTATTATACGCGTTTTTCCTCATTTTGAGATCAAATCCAAACAATCAGTTTTGGTTTATAGAAGAACTTATAGCATCACCCCTTCTATCTTTCTTTGTGCATAGAGAATAATTCATTCAATATTAAAATTTCCTATTTATTTATGATATAGCCCAACTTCTGCACAAAATAAATGAAGGAAATAAAAATTAATTTTTTAATTAGTGATATATGAGTTTTACTAAACAACCCGGTAGCTATTCATTATATATAGTTCAGATTAGGTATATATTATTTTAGTTTATAAAAAAGGTATTAATATGACTCATTTCCTGGGAAGTATATAAACATTTTAATTACTTCTAAGAATCAGTAAATATACAAAACACAGTGTTCAATTGCAAACGTTAAAAAAAAAAAAATCAAGATATTTAGAAAAGTATTTTTTAATTAACTTTTATTATTATAATTATATCATTTTTACAATTGAGGTCTTCTTAAACGACCAACGTACAGAATAAAGGAGGTTAAATTTAAAAAAAATAATAATAAATTTTTTTAAAAAATTTTAATTTTTTTTTTTACATTTAAATTATTGCATTAATATTTCTTCGTTAATTAAACCAATATAATGTACCAAAAATGTTATTATATCACTATAACTAAGCCATTTATGGGCACTGAATGATGTGGTAGAGGCCTGTAGGCACCCACGCCAGTACCGCTTTTCTGCCGCATAAGTGCCTTTTCTACAGAACTGCTTAAACATTTGTAAAAAATAACCAGCGTTTTAGAAAGAGAAATATATTCTCCAGATGGTTTATTTCAGCACGTTTTGCATTATTGTAGGCGGTTTAATTACAAACGACGCTTGATTTGTAACTTGAAAATTTTTTTGTTAAAAAAATTGACTTTACTGGTGTTTTTCATAGCCTAAGCTAATTATTTTTTAATATTTCTTCATGTTTTATTATTCTATAACTATTCAGCTTTAATAAAAGACCAATTATAAGGAAATTAATCCAAATGCTGATTCTCAGTGACCGAAAAACTAACTAAAGTCAAAGTCGTCAATCCGCCATCTTTGGACGCCATTTTGGGGCGGTGCGTTCACTTTTTTTTGTGGGAACATTGGCTTTTTTTTAATAAATAGTTACAAGGAACACAACGATATGCAATTTATAGGGATGTGGGGGGGGTGCACGGTAAGGGGGTCTGGCCCACCGTGTATATGGAAAAGATGTCCAGCCACTATCACTGAGAATATTTTTTTGTTAGTTTTTGAATGTATAAAATTCTACGTCTTTGAGAAGTATTTAATTGATTACTAATACTGAATGCACTCCTCTATATGTATATCATATTTTATTTTCCCCCGATCAATCTTCATCTTAGGATATAGACTATATAAGACTTGTATAATGTTTACAATACTATTATTGTATTCATTTGAACACATTAAGGTACAAATGTAGTTATTTATAGTAAATGTTTATCTGCTCTTTTATTATTATTTTTATCATTAATACAATGGTATGACAACAAAAGTAATTTATTGTTCATTTCAAATTTTATTTAGTATTCTATAGTTTATTGTTTGTAGCAACTATTTTGCAGTATTGTGACAATGTTGCTCATATCATTTTTGTAATATATCGGTATAGTTATGTAAATAATTCTGTTATTACTTATTTTTTTGGTTATTTTTTTATTGTTATATGCATTTTGGCCAGATGTTATGTTAATTTTTATGTACAATTTGTTATTCTTAAGAGACTTTGTCCCAGAATAAAGTTGGTTCTTCTATTCTATTCTATATATATATATATACATAGAGATTTAGATGTATAGAGCTTATTAGCTTTCTTAGAGAAAAAAAACTCTTTTGATTGAAGTTGTGGTAACGTTACATTTGAAGGATTTAATAAATTCCATATTTTGTAAAAATTTATTGTGCAATCAAAGAAGCTTTTATGGGTAGTAGTTTAGGACTCCCAATCAACACCAAGATGACCTAGATATTGGCATATGCTGATGATGTGATGGTCTTTGGAAGAACCAGAAACAGTGTAAAGGTTTAGTTATTTAAGCTTAATGCAGAAGCTCAACAGGTGGATCTCAGGGTCAATGTGGAGAAAACCAAAGAAATTACATTAAGGAGAAAGACTAGATGATAGGAGAGTATAAGTAATAACCCATGAAAGCTGGACAGTAGTATCAACTGGCAGAAGATAAAACACTGTGGGAATGACTCATTGAGCAGGCTAAGGACAGCTTAATGCATCTGATGTGCCAAATAGAAGATGTTATACAGTCTTCAGCTGTACGTTAAGCACCAAGTCCTGATATAGAACTGCAAAGTGGATAGTAATCTTGGCTTTCATTAAATAGTTTACTATTTGAGATGGATTTCTTGACCACCTTAGCATTTATTAATATTTTTTTAATATACAATTTAAGAGCCAATTACATAATATTTTGAGGAACCTTTTAAAAATGAAAACAGAACCATCATTATGTTGTCACTGTTGACCATTCATTAACCCATACTTATTAAATATTTTATCTGAGCCAGTATTTCAGGCTAAGTTGTAGTAGCTTCTTCTTTATTTCATTCTAAGTTAGCTGGTTCAAAAACAGGTCAGGTCTTTTTGGATCAAAAACATTATATCACCCAACTGTTTTTATTCTGAAGAATGTCTACAACATAAACTGAAAAATAGTAAAGAAAAACAAACAATTATCTACTGAGTTTCATTTCTGATCACTATCACCAGATTAAAAATAGTGAATAAATAAAATGAATATGGAAAATAAAATAAAATCCTTTTGAACTAAAAATAACATAGAAACAAGTGGGGAAAATGGAATAGAAGATATTAAAAATGAAATAGTGAAAAGCAAGAATAAAAAGAGATATTTTCTCTTTTTTTATCTGTTGAAACCAATTAGAATTTCATTATAACAATAAAATGGGTTTATAGAAACATCAAATAAACATAAAGTAATTATTTAAGTTCACTAATTTAAATTGTAATAGCAACTGTAATAACTCTGTAAGCTGTATTTTTAAACACATCGTTGCAAGCTGTATTTTTAAATATATCTTTGTAAGCTTTATTTTTAAATATTAACTTAGCACAAATAATATATTCTTATTTATATTATTTGACATAAATTATTTTTATCAGGTACCAATTTACTTTTTTAATATTTACAACTTCTCCACAATCACTAAGAAGTTCAGTAATAATGCAGTATATCAAAAATTAATAAAGAATAAAAATATCAGAAATAGAAATTTAATTTCCAGGCTCAAAAGTAATATCACAATATTAAGGGGATAAGGATGTTTTTTTTATAACTTATGACCACAAAATACATATTTATAGAAAAATAAATAATTTAACATATTATTCTTTAACATGTACATTTGGATTAGCATAAACATCAAACAATGGATCATCAGAGTTAATGTAATGTGCAATAACTTTGAGCAGCAGACAAAAAAGTATAAATAACAATGTAGCTAAAATTAATTTTTTCCAACAGGGAACTCCTCTGCTGTAAGCACTCCGGAAGCTAAAAAGTCTGAAAAAAATATATAAGAATAATTATTTTGGTCAGAGAAATACAAACTATTTTATAACTAGATTAAAATAAGTGGAAAGTGGGCCTATATTATACCAAAGGCATTGGGGTATTATCAAAATATTCATTTTAAGATTATTAATGACACAAAAAGCATAAGACTTTATTTAAACATAAATAAACTATATTTAAAGTTCTTTGTATTTATAAAAAAAAAACTTATTGTCTTCCTGTAATATCAGGAAACTACCACAGTACTTTCTGACCAATTATTATTAAAGTTAAATCATTTTTAAAAATTTTTTAGATATATAACTTTATGCACCTTTTATAATTAATATAGAAACCAGATCCAAATTAAAGTAAATAGGCAATGATACCCATTAATAGTATTTCACCCTTAAATTCAACATAATTAAAACCAATTTTTACTGAATAGAGAAATCCATTCAATAATTTTTGGTTATGTTAATTATATGGGGCATGAATTCTCCAGCACCTTATGTGTATGATGAACCACACTTAAAATAAATTGAATGGAGACTAACTAGCTGTGTTATTTTAGAATAATCTAATAAGAAACTAAACCTTTTTAATCAAGGCTTTATTAAGCGAAAAACATTACATTAAAGGTTATGAACTGTTACAATAATCTCTATAATAATAACGAAAGTTAACATCTGATAATAGGCTATTTGCAATGTAATAGAGGTACAACCACATTCTTCTCCTGTCTGTGATGTACTGCTTGTGGATTTTCTTGGATGAAGGAACATGCACTCATGTGGAGTAGCATTTTAGTCCAGCAAAGTTAGGGGGGAAAACAGCCTTACCCCAACATTCAAAACATAAAGATGAAACTTCTCAGAAATTTTTCATTACCTTCCCTTCCTCATAATAACTGGTAAAAAGTCATAAAGAATCCCGCATCAAGATTTGATGGGGAAGAGTGAGAGAAGGAAAGGACAGAAAAATGATATTTTCTTAGTTTTTTATATCTCATGAAAATATCTCAAAAACTACGAGATTTTTCGCAAATATTGTTTAGTACAATATTGAAATACTTTAAAATCTCTATAAAAATGACCCTATACGTTTTTTTTGATAAAATAAATGGTTAAGGAGATATTTAAGGGATTATATTTATCGTATTTCCACTTAGAGCAAAAATTGCTCCAAACCACGAAATTGATCTTGTTCAAAGTAGATGATAACCATTAAAGTAGACTTTTAAGCAGTTAAACAACGGTAAGTTCGGGATATCATAAAATCAAGAATTTTATGAGACGTTTGTTATAATCCACTAACAAACATGAAGATATCACACTTCAGAAAAACGTCCTTTTTCAATGAGCTTTAAGTCAAGATTCATCCCTAATTCAGTAAAAAGATGTAAAAATATTGGTGTCCATTCCTAATTTTACCGTACTAATAATATTTTTACTCAATTAGAGAAAATGTAAACTCAACTTAATTAATATAGACTTGAAGCTCAATGAACAAGGACGTTTTTCCAAAAGTGTGGTATCTTAAGGCGAGTTGGGAGGTTATAATAAAAATCTTGTAGAATACTTGATTTTATGTAAACCCGAACTTACCGTAGTTTAACTGCTTAGAAGTCTCTTTTAATGGTTTTAAAAAGAACAAGATTTACATGCATTTAATGTAAATTTAATCTAGTTAACTATGGAGGAATTGGTTGTAACCTAAATTAAACATTTCTTTAGTTATTTCATTTTAATTGACATAAAACATGGTTGGCTAAAAATTGACAAAACCTAAATTTCCTGGTTCTCAATATTAATCAGATCATTATTTATGGTAGCTTTTTATAAGTTTCAATGTCTTCTATCATATATTATCAATTATATGAAATTAATGTCAATCTAAACTTTATATCATTACCACGAAATTCCCCATTGATTGATATCGAATATAATTCTGTTGTCAATAACTTTTAAGAGTCATTAAACAAAAGAAACTTTGAATAATAATTTGAACAATCGAAAAATGTTTAAAAAAACTTATAAAACTTCAAAACAGTATCGTCTACTATGAACTCGTGGTTTGAAGCAATTTTTGCTCTTAGCAAAAATACGATAAATATAATCTCTTAAATATCTCCGTAACCATTGATTTTATCAAAAAAACGTATAGAGTCATTTTTATAGAGATTTTAAAGTATTTCAATATTGTAATAAACAATATTTGCGAAAAACCTCATAGTTTTTTAGATATTTTCATGAGATATAAAAAACTAAGAAAATATCATTTTTCTGTCCTTTCCTCCCCCATAAAAACCCGACCCGGGATCCTTTGGAACCTTTTATCAGTTATTATTGGGAGCGTAACGAACACTTTCTGACAAGTTTCATCTTTATTTTTTAATTTTTCGGTCAATCCCTAATTTTACTGGACTATTTGTAGATATGCACAGTAATGATCTCATACTGTGAAGTGCATCATTGACCATGACCTCCCTTTGGTTTCAAGCTCATGGGACTTCAAGCCCAATGTGATTGTACCCGAAATTATACCATTATACTGTTCACATTGACTATTTCTGCAGAGCTTATAGGGAGTAGTCCTGCTCGTTACGGCTCCTTGAGTATGTAGGAACAGTTAGAGTCCTTGTGACATAAAAGAGGATTCCTGATCTGAATAAACGTATGCTGAGAGTTCAAAGAGTGGCAGTCAATCCACAGAAGAAGGAAGAAGTCTGGAAAAATGCCGGTAGGTGGCAGCAGCTGAAGAAGGACGCCGGAGAAAAAAGAAAGGACTTGAGGCCTAGAAAGGGAAGACGAAGGAAGGAGGTTACCTGAGAAGAGAAGCCTACTTCACTGAAGATTATGAATATCAAGCCTACAGTCATAACACTTTAATAGATTCATTTATTGCAGTTGTCAAAATAAATTGTTTTGTTATACAGGAGTGAAAAGTCATTTTATTTAGTTGTCCAATAGGTCTCACAATTGAAGAATAACAAAACAGGTGAGTCAATTCATTCAAAGTATATATATATATTCTTATTATTTCTTGTCACTCAGTGTCACAAAAGCATTAAGGTTCCGAATTCCCAATGACAGTTAAACACCCTCAAAAAGGCTATATCCAGTGCCGGAGTTTTGTTGTAAGAAAATTAAATTCACAAGTGTAAATAACCTTGTCCCCATGCAAAGCGGAAGGTTATTCACAATTGCCTCCAAAAAGGTTATTTACAAACGCCCCCGAACAAGGTTGTTTTCATAATGACACATATAAACTAGCATTATCACTTGAAATGGCACAGAAACATTTGCAAAACTATGACTTTCCTCCTCTTGCCTTGAATGCTGCTTCAATATCTATTCAGGATCTCTTGCTATTTTAATCCCAATTTCTTCAACCTCTTACAGCAGCATCTGTTTCTAAGATGGTGAATAGAACATGCTATTTTTGTGTTGGAACCCCGATTCACTCTAATTCTTTTCTTCTGCCCGAGAGGCCACTTGCGAGGGATGTGTTCATTTTTTTTTTATATATCTATTTTAGGCCAAAGGTCACCAAATATACACAGTTTTTTTTATCTCCTGTATTGTTTATTCAACGTTTCGGCTTCAGGAGCCATTTTCAAGATCCATGCAACGCGCCATAAAATTTTTAAAATCTATCATTGGGATATGATTCGTCCTTAAGTCATTCTTTTATTTAAAAGAATGTCATTTTCCATTTCTCTGTTTGCAGACAATATCAAGAAATTGTTGCTCCTCACTAGGGCATTCATACAGGACTGCCCTATAATATGAATGCCCTAGTGAGGAACAACAATTTCTTGATATCGTCTGCAAAAAGAGAAATGGAAAACGACATCCTTACAAATAAAAGAATGACTTAAGGACGAATCATATCGCAATGATAGATTTTAAAAATTTTATGGCGTGGTGTATGGATCTTGAAAATGGCTCCTGAAGCCGAAACGTTGAATAAAGAATACAGGAGATAAAAAAAAACTGTGTATATTGGTGACCTTTGGCCTAAAATAGATATATAAAAAATTATGAGAAAATGGCACCAAATGTGAAGGATGTGACTAGAAAATTGTTCATTTTAAAGTTTTTTTGTAACTCCAAGAGGAGGGCCTACTTCCGCCTCGACAGACCTCATATCAGCAGTTTTATCTGCAGCTCTTCGCCCATGTGTTAAAATTATAAAGGTGAATGGAAAATCTTGACATGCCTTGATTGACTCTGGGAGCTCTCACAGCTTCATCAGTTCCAGTAGGGTTCTTAAACACAAGTTAAATCTTGTTCCACAAGAAGGAAGAGTATTGGTGTAATCGACCTAGCTCACCTCAATAATTATGGGTAATTGTACCACGAATTTCCAAATAAAGGAAAACATCTACCAGAGCGTAACTTTATCTGTAATGATAGACTTATGTTGTGACTTAATTTTGGTCAAAAATCATTCCTCTGGCGAGTTGCGATTCAGGGGTTCCCAAGAAACCACTAAAGATCTGTATTTTGGCATTTGCAACCATAGCCCCAGTAACCTTTATCTCATACATCATACCAGGATGGAAGCCAGTTGCCACCAAATCAAGACTTATTCTTTTGAGCATTTAAAATTCATGAAGCTGAAAAAGATCGTATACTAGGAGAGAGTATTATTGAACCTAGTAAATCATCTTGGGGAGGAGCTCTAGCCTTTTATAGAGAATCTTTTGCTGCCAGGCCACCCTGTGGCTTTATCTCCCACACGTTGCCACGATCTGAACATCACTACATTATTGAGAAAGAAGCTTATGCTATTGCAGAAGTGTTGAGAAAATGGAGGCAATTCCTAACCCTCAGACATTTCCGTCTGATAACAGGCCAGATAAGTGTTTCATTCCTGTTTGACAATCACAATGCAACAAATATTAAGAATGAGGAAATTATGAGATGGAAGGTTGAACATTTACCTTATAAATATTATATAGTCTATAGACCAGGAAGAGAAAACATCACAGCTGATGTATTTTCTAGAGTATGTGTTCCTGTCGATTCTATAACTTTATTTGATTGGCACAGAAAAATGTATCATCCTAGCATCACTAGAATGTATCATTGGGTACAATAAAAAAATTTACCGTACTCACTAGACGGCATAAGAACCATGACTGCATCATCCTGCAAAGTTTGCTCTGAATACAAGCCAAAGTTTTACCATAAAGAAAAGACAGATCTCATTAAATCTACCTCTCCCTGGGAACATTTAAATTTAGGTTTCAAGAGACGTCTCCTATCATCTAGCAGCAATCATTACATTTGGACAATAATTGATGAATTCAGCCGTTTTGTATCCGCATTCCCTTGTTAGGACATGTTGACTGCCACTCTTTGAACTCTCAGCATACGTTTAGTTCAAAGAACTCCTGAATAACAAAACAATTTATTTCGACAACTGCAATAAATGAATCTATTAAAGTGTTATGACTGTAGGCTTGATATTCATAATCTTCAGTGAAGTAGGCTTCTCTTCTAAGGTAACCTCCTTCCTTCGTCTTCCCTTTCTAGGCCTCAAGTCCTTTCTTTTTTCTCCGGCATCCTTCTCCAGCTGCTGCCACCTATCGGCATTTTTCCAGACTTCTTCCTTCTTCGTGGATTATTTATCGATATGAGACTTTCAATGAACAATTTGACCACTGCACAATTGAGTACAATTTATAGTGCAACCTCATATTCCTATATATTCCTTTTCATTCCCTCACTCAATGAAAGAAAGTTATTTTCAATGAGTCTTTAAATTATGGTAGACGAAGTCAGTCCACTAATAAAGGTATCACACACTCAGTCTTTACGATTCTGTTCGGCAGTGACGGCAGCAAATTTTTAGTCTTTACTCAACAGATTAAAAGCTTGAAGGTAAGTATTGATGGTCTCGTCAGAACCTTGTTTGCATGTTAATAGAGAATGCCTAGAATAAATAACATTTTTTTGGTTTAGTGTAAAGGTTTTGTAGTGTAGCAACGGGCTCTTCAAAAGTAGGACACTCACTAAAGTAAGGATAAACAGTTGGAAAGAACAAATTTATAAGTAATTGACACTTCTTTGCTTCGGTAAGATAATGCTATCATCAGTGGCTAAAAATTGCATACTAATGATTCCAGCCCTTCTCTGTACTAGGCATTTACATGTTATAATAGGCTATTTGCAATGCAATAAATAGAGTTATCACCACTCTTATTTGATATATTTGAAGCCCATTGATTCTTATGGTCACTCCATCGAAGCAGTGGTGTATGTATATTGTTCATGATTTAAGGTTATCTTTTTTAAATAACATTTTGGTATTTGTATTTAAATAGCCATTCTGCGAAGTTTTTCAAGGTCTTAGAACTTTAGTTCTACAGTATTTTCTTTTCAGAGTGTTTGTTTCAGTAAAACTATAAGCTCATTATTTCACAAGGAACTGATTTCTTATGCCAACAAAAATATTTAATAATATCGGTTGTTTTGAGAGTGCATTTAAGAACAAATATATAACTTTTTTATTTAAAGCTAGTCAAAACTAGTGAATGTATTTTTAAGATTCATATAACTTACTTAAGCCAGAAATTTACTCCATAACCAAATACAGGATCACGTCTTTTATACTTATTTTCATCTTCATCCAGAAGAGGTACTCTTTCACTAGCAACGCCCTGAGGATTGCGGCGAGGAATTTGGGCTGTAAATTATATAGAGAAAATGAAAATGAAAATTATTATGACATGGCAACTCAATTTTACATGTAAAATAATATATTAAAGAAAAAACAAATTATTTCATACTCTGAACAGACATAATTTCTTCATTGAATGACAATGGCACATATGTGTATTTAAGTTTAGTATTCTACATGAGAAATACAACTAACCTAAAACATCAATTTCTTTCAACTATTTTAAAATTTTAACATATTTATAAAACATACAACTTTATCATAAGATTGTTTTTCTTCTATTTTAATCTAATAAGTTAATGTTTCACTAAACAGAAGGTGGCAATACTAAAGTTGTTTTTAATTTATATATAAAGTAAAAATAAACTATGCTCCTTCCCCGAATTGAGAGCAAAGGCTCAAGGAGGTTCCACTGCCCCATATAATCCAAGTCAGTTATGTTATGTTATAGCTAATGGAGGCTAAGTAAAGGAAAGTAAACTGTAGACACACAAGCCATGAGTGGGCGGGGTGGCCAAATGGGCTAAAGCGTGTGCAATGCACCACCGTTGCCCGGCAACCTGACATATGAATCATAGATATAAAAATAGAGTCACGAGTTCGCGTCCTGGTGCCAGGGGAGTCTTTTAAAACCCCCGCCCACACTCCCTGGCCCAGGAAAATCCCGTATAGCCTTAACGGCGAGGAAGGGATGGACAAAAAAAAAAAAAAAAACACAAGCCATGAATTGAGACATCCTACCCTAAATAATAAGAATGTAATAGCTTACTAAAAGAAAAAGTAAAAGTTACAGTATTTAATAAGTAAACTACTTGCTAGTAGTAAATGACCTGCATCAGGCATTAAAATTAATGAAATTATTGTATTTGATAGATTCTTAAAACAATTTTAAAATAAAGAATTTTTTTTATTACAGTGATAAGAAAATCTGAAACATGACTTTTTGGAAGAGAATGCGTTATCACTAAGCAGGACAGTTTAGGTCACAATATAGTGAATGGCCCTACTGAGAGTCACCAGATCCAACATGACACGGCTGACGAAACAGTGTAGTTTGTAGTTGGCATGGTACCAAGAGCATACATACTACCTCCAGATAATAAAGTAAACCTAAAATAAACCAGTCTCAACAAGTATGTTGGGGAGTTTCTGAGAGAGGATTACAGAAGACCAAAGCAGATGAAAGAAATTTTTGTGGGAGGAGAACATCAAGGATGAGATCATCAGTGGACAACGACCAAGAATGGCCTAATATCTTGAGGAAAGTCTATCTCACCCTCAGATAAAGAATGGAGATTGAATGGATCCTCCATGATTATTAAATCTATCCATATCTTACTGACCACGAGGCTTTTCATGTCAAACTATGGCTTTTTATAATTTTACCAAATCTTGGAAAAGTGTCTCTGAAGGTTAAACAAAGTTATTTAAGGGTTTGAGTGCAATGATAAGCTAAATGTACAAATGTACTGAGAGGGTATTAAATTTAGTTTGTATATCAGTGGTAAAGAAAATGTAGGGACCAAAGACACTTGCTTGTAGAATACTGACCTTAATTGGAGGACAACTTTTGATTAAATGATTTGTGCCACAATGAACTCAGATGGAACACTCAAAAAGATAAGATAAAAAGATCTAGGTATATTGAGTATCATATTTTTATTTTAGCTAGTAATCAAGAGTATTCCAAAAAAAGAGAATAATAAAATCCAAAAGAAAATTACAAATTAAATGTCCAACATTCTAATTAATTTAATTTAATAAGACTATTTCAACCCAACCTTTTTAATTTAATCTTATAACAATGTTTTAATCCTAAATTTTCAATTAAATTTCACTACTAATAATAATCTCATAATTTCAAATAATAATCTCAATAATCAATAATCTCTTATAATTTAAAACAATAACATAATTTCTATATTATTATTTTTCTTTCAGTGATTGCACTAAACATTAACATATATTGAGATCTTAAGGATTTAAAATATCAAGCATCTTAGATCATAGTAAATTTGAAATACAGATAAATGCAAATATTTATATATTTATACACATCATGGTGATCTGACAATGAAAAATAATTTTTATTTTAGAGAACGAATTAAAAGTCAGTGAAATAACATCTGAATCAATAAAATTTTGTTGGTAGTAAAATCAATAAGCAATCTTACCTGATTCCTCAGGACGAGGAGAATTAGTTTCTTCTATGTGTACAACAACATCATTTTTTAAAGACATTGAATTGTCGATAATTCCTAGATTATTTGCTGAAGGTATTGATTTAGGAATGTTTCTTCTAAAAGACTTGAACTCTTCCTCAGCCGTCTGAAAAAAAAAAAGATGAAGTTATAATTAATTAAAATGAAATAATACCAAATAAGTAAACAACAAAATTATTTCCATTTTTAAAATTAGACAAATGTGAAAGGAGAGTAACTAAGATATAAAAAAGAACAGAATCAAAAAAAAACAGATCATCTGTAATTTATTTATATATATAAAACCTGTACCACTACAACCCATGAAGGGCCATGGGTGCAGTACTATGTGAGGAAATACTGTTTCAAGACCAACGGTTGTGCAGGGAGGTGACGGGGCTGATATCACGCTCAACCGCCAGGTTTTCCCCCTTAATTATTTTTTTAAATTAAGAGTGCCCACTTTATAGAGGATGGGTGTGCCCCAGGAGGGTCTCCCGACCATATATATATATATATATATATATATATATATATAGAGACCCATATATATATATATATATATATATATATATATATAGAGACCCATATATATATATATATATATATATATATATATATAGAGAGAGAGAGGGTCGGGAGATTAAAATTAAAATAATTAAAATTTTATAACATTTTTAATGTTTAATTAAATATTTTATAAAGAAAAATATACCAAATTTATTTTAATAAGATATATTAAATTTATAAATAAATATATATATATATATATATATACACACACACACATAAATTTAATATATCTTATTAAAATAAATTTAGTATATTTTTCTTTATAAAATATTTAATTAAACATTAAATATATTATAAAATTTAAATTATAAATTTCAAAATAAGACTTCCTTATTCTGCAAGTCTTCTCCTAAACTAAACTTTTCTTTTACTGGTAAAAAGTCTGATGACTGCTCTTGAAACAGGAACTGTACAGGAGGAAAAAAATTTATCTGTGTGAAAAAAAACTAACCACGCGATAGAAGTGAAAACATCAGGACAAGATTAACAATATGAAATATAGATTATAAATAATAATTCATTATAAAGAGGATGAAATGCTGAACATTACCTTTGCTTACAGTATGCAGGTCCAATTTTTAGTTTCTGAGATATTTTAAACCATATTTTCAATAAAAATCGTTATCATTTGTTTTTCGGCACTATTTTTTCCCTTTCCGCCTCTCTAACATGGCATCATGTTATGATACAATTTTGAATAATAGTTCATTACAAAGAGGATGAAATGATAAACATTTCCCTTGCTTACATTATGCTGGACCAATTTTTAGTTTCTGAGATATTTCAATCCATATGTAAAAACACTTCAATTAGTCGACTCCCGCTGACTTTATCTGAGCATTACACATCGTAAATTGGAAAAAAGTACAAAACATGCCTAAGAAGTTTTCACTTGAAAAAGAAAAATGAATCCTTGCTAGGTCTGGTCAGATTCTGGCTGGTAGAAACATCACTGGGATGTGTAAACGATAGTCAAATTTTCAAATAATGACAGTCCAGCAATGAGACATAGAAGTTATACTTATGGAAAGAAATAACACTGTTATATGTTTATTATCTCTCATAAATAATAAGGCATAGGGCTCATAAGACAAAAATAACTCAGTTATGAGAAACCAATCAAAAATATATATGGTTCTTCCCTTAAAACAAATAAAGATTGAATCAAAAATATAATTTATTTTGATAGAAATATAAAAAATTTGATCTTTGTTGATAACAAACTTGAAGCTTAAATGAAGCGAATAAAACAACAATTAAGAACTGAAAACATATTAAGAGTTAAAATACAGTTTATTAGAATTTCAAACTTCACTAAATCATCTTGCCAATTGTTATGAAATAACCAGAAAAAAAAAAAAATAAAATCTTTAATTACAAATATAATTTTAATGGGATGGAAAATTAATAAATAACCACTGCTTCCCTTACTTACTTACTTACGTACTTTATATAGAGCCGGAGCTCTTAAAGACCTTACTGATGTGTCACAGAAGGCCTCTCTGGACATCTTGGCAATATAGGAGATGATATGGACTGGAAAAGGTAATATAAAGGACAAGAATTTCATAATGATATTTAGTGGAAGCAAAAATAGGCATGAATTTGAAGTTGCATTTATGGTCGCAAATAAAATAAAATCCTCAATCCTCGACTTCCAACCAATTAACGACAGGCTATGCCCTAACTATGCATTAGGAGCCATTTCTGGAACATTAGTTTAATTAGTGTGCATGCCCCCACAGAAGAGAAAGACAAAGAGGAGAATGATATTTTCTATGAACAATCGGAAAATGCATATAGTACTTGTCCCAGTTACGATATGAAAATCGTGTTGGGAGACATTAATGCACAGGTTGGTAAGGATAAGGAGCTGAGACAGAATGCACATGAAGAGATTAGTTAGAAGCAAGAAGAGGGAAGCATTAAGGAAGCAGATTAAGGGAATTGAAAACTCATGAAGTAGAAATGAGTCCCGCAAGTTCTACAAAATGATGAATAGCGTTAAGTGTGGACTAACCAGGAGAGCCAACCTAATCAAAGACAACCATGGCAACATGCTAATGCTAGAAGGAGTGCAAGAAAGATGGCAGCAATATATCAAGAGCTTATTGAACCAGAGAGAAGCAGAGAACTGCCTGGAAGACCATGTACAATTACCAGTGGGTATTATTGATGAAGATTTGGAAACCATTTCACCCAATGTAGAGGACATTGAAGACATCTTGTCTAAACTCAAAAATAATAAATCACATGGTAATGATGGATTCCCAGCAGAATTACTTAAAGCAGGGCATCATGAAGTCACCAGGGAACTACAGAACCTGATAGCTTGGATAAGGGAAGAGGAGACCATACCTAAGGAATGGAATGAAGCTGTAGTAGTGCCTGTATACAAGAAGAAGGGAGATTCAACGATATGCAGTAACTATCGAGGGATTAGTTTGCTTAACACTGCATATAAATTGTTTTCTATATCTCTGTACAACAGACTCCTTCAGTATGTTGAACAGAAACTGGGTGATTATCAAGGTGGTTTTCGACCCACTAGGTCTACTATTGATCAAATCTTCACCCTGAGGCAAATCTCTAAACTTGGATGCTGTTCATTGATTTTCAGGCTGCATATGAAAAAATTGTGAGGAGTGAACTCATATTTGCCAAGGATGAACTGGGGCTGCCTAGTAAACTAGCTCGGTTAGTAAAATGCACAATGATGAGCACAATCTGTCGAGTAAAATCCTATGGATTATCAGAGCATTTTTGCAATGGAAAGTGGCCTAAGACAGAGGGACCCAACAGCTCCTCTCTTGTTTAGTATCACTCTACAAGCAATCATAAATAGAGCAGGAGTAAATCAGGAAGGAACAATATTTACAAAAATAAAACAAGTTCTGGCTTATGCAGACGACATCGTCATCATCTGTAGATCATTTCAGAGCATTAGGATAGCTTTCGAAGCGATGGATGTTAAAGCAAAAAAGATGAGCCTGCATATTAATGGGAAGAAAACAAAGATTATGGTATTAGGTAAGAAGTAACCGGATCAGAGACAGAGTTGCTTTGTGGTGGGCCCCTACAATAACCAGAATGAAGAAGAGGTTAAAATCAGAATTACAGCAGGAGCCGATTTCTCCATTTTAAGGCTAATCAAAAGCAAACTTGTTAGCCGTATCACCAAGTTTATGCTTTGCAAGACGCTGGTAAGGCCAATTGTCACATACTGTGGAGAAACGTGAACCCTAAGCAATAAAAGCATTAACATGCTAGACAGATTTGAAAGGGCAAACTTCATGCACCTGTTGTGCCAATAAAAGAGGAAGAATAAGCTTCCACTTGTATGATAAGTAGGTAGACTGTCTATTTTATTTTTGTAATATAGAATGTTACGGTCTTGTTTTATTTATTTTATAGTTCTAGAAGCTTATGTTTATATAAACATCAGCATACACATTTAATACATTAACAATACATAGTAATTGTCACAAGGAGACTGCATAATCTTCATAACAATGTTTTTTTTTATCCATTCAGTTGGATAATGTCTGTATTGCCTATTAAAATTTTCAAAATCCATAATTGTCATTAACTTTGAGATCTGAAGATGAAAATGAAAGAAAAATCAAGACAATACAATAAAAGAGATGCCCTTGATAATGATTATAGACTACTAAATATTTAATAAAAATATTAATTATTTATAGTAACAACTCGCTGTTGAATAGACATTTCTCATTGATTCCAGTTCAAACTCCTATTTGACCATTTCCAAACTGAGTTCATATCATCAAAATTGAATTAAAAATTTTTTCTCTCACATTTTTGGATTACTTGACAAAAATTTTATTATACTGCACTATTCAAATTAAGAATATTGTTACATCAAGGAAGTTTAGTCTATTATTTTCTTCAGTATCTGAGGTGAATTTAAGTTTGCCATACATATATTATTTATTAATTTAGAGCGTTCGTGTTTTTTAATGATTAGAAATAAATCATCAACATATTTCTTTATGAGAGGTTTTACATTAGATGTCTGGAGTGCTTCATCAATTATTTTATTCAGGACTATAACCGATAAGATAAAAGATAAATAGTCCAGGATTGAGAAAAGCTACTTACAAAATGGTATCAAAAACCAATTACTTATAAGTGAATATAATTTCAATTTATATTCAAACCACCCAAATCAATAATGTAGCAACTAACCTAAGAAATAAATCTATAAAACTTCATATTCATTATACTTTATATTCATACACAGTCGCTGCAAAACTTGAACATATATATATTTTTTTCTTTTCTAATAGCTTATTTATTGAAATATATTACAATCTGTCTCAGGGACATTAATAATAGTGTTCACAGATCACATTCACACTCTATGTACAGTCAATAAAATAAATTATACAGAAAAATAATATATATACAATAAACAAGAATAAAATAACCTAAAAATAAATAAATAAAAAGAACACATGCACACCTATATACAATATTTACAACTTGGCGAGAGAACTCCAAACCAGACTTGTCCCTCCAACTGTGGAGGGA